GCATGAGTATGCTCAGATATCTATAACATGCATGTGAATGACCCCATGAACTGTGATGCTGGAGTTTTCACTCCAAGTTGGTTTTTGCCCTGTATTATCCAATAATCAAGATAACTTTTATTACCAATTTTTATTGATAAAGGAAGTTAATTGTGTAAACTACTATAAATTATTCTCTCCTGCTCATTTTGTGAGAATGTTAAAAGAGAAACCAAATCCTGTTTGTAGCACAGTAGTTTCTTTTTTCCTAGTATATGAGCATATTCTAATTGTGTGCATGAGCAACAATGCAAGTGATATTCATGATCGGTGTTAACTATTAAAATAGTGTGTATTTCTGTTCAGTTGCCAGCCAGTCTTTGTGAGCACATGGCTACAAATATGATGCTCGCATCATATTTTTCGAAATTAACTTTACCACAGGAAAAGGATGCTAAAAGAGGACCTTCTACAGTCACGCTTTTCCAAGAAAACTCTTTTTATTCTTCCTGAAAACCTACAGTTATTTATGAGATTCTAAATTATGTTTTCCAAAACATTATTTGCCCAGTCTCTAATGTGGTTTCTGAACTGACTTGTCTGTGCTGCTGATGCTCTCCAATGGAGTGGATGATCACAGATTCTATAGGGAGACGTTAAATCATGTCCTGGGGCACACTGATAATTAATCCATGGAAAAACAGACTGTTCCTTACTGAATATTCTCTGTGATTCTTTTTTTTCTCCTAATAGTTGTACTTTTTGTGTAGTTGTGGGATAATTGTGGTTTTTTTTCTTTCTGTGAATTTAGCCCTCCTCCGACTGATGCCTCACCAGTGGCTTCACCAGATCCACAACGCCAGGAGTGGTTTGCCCGATACTTCACGTTCTGAGAGATGATTTCTTTTTGTGGCACAGCGTGATGTGGACTGTTTATAAGAGCATGACCTTAAGTAAACCCTCATGTGAACAAGCTATCCTGTAATTTGTCAAACACTGTGAATGAGAAAGTAATTGTCTTTCTGATTTGAAACTGCACTGTATTTCATGTTATATTTGTTGAAATCACTTGACATGATACTATACAATATGTGTAATTATAACTATTATTTTTATTTAAAATGGAAGAATCTTTAAACTTTGTAATTACTACATAATAAATTTTGGTAGAACAAACAATGCTTTCCCCCTTTTTCCTTATAAATGCTTTCTTTGATTTCAGGTAAGGCTTTTCCCCTGAATAACATAATTGCATGGTTACTATAAATACAACTTAAATTGTAAAAGGAAAAGGTATGTATCTTGCACTCTCTCTCCAATTTGAGCAGGATATGTTTAATGCATCCCACTTCTGTTACTTTGTAGCAGTTTAAAATCTGTCTAACATTTAAAAGGAAGAATGCTAAATAAAACTAGCATAGCTGCTGGCCTTCAAAGCAGAGTCATTCTGATAGAGGATGAAAAAAGCCACAAACCAGGAGCTGTTCACTGGGGTTGGGGGTTGACTCCTCACTTATTGCTCATGAGGCTTTGCCATCTCATTATAATCAAATATTTTATCACTGAATTTAAACAGAAACTGTTTTCACAGGTTCTATATTTCTTTTATGAATATTAACAAAAACAAATGCTCGATATATTTAGAAAACTCTGCTAAGTATCTCTGCATAAATCAAGAATCTACATTTTGAGCATATAGTCCTGCTTTGGATAAAAGTCATGTCTGAAATAAAAAAAGAAAGTCCCAAACAAGCAAACAAAGCAATGACCCAACTTTTTCCCATTTATTCATACTACAGTACAGATGTTTCCTTAAAAATTAGTCACCTTCCTTTGTCTATATTAATTTCTTTTCTTCTTCTTAAACTGATATATGAAAATGTTTTTTCAGCTAGTGAGCATGATTCTCCAATCTGTACCTTTTATGATGTCAGTGTTGCTCGAGAAATTTGTTGTAGCATATAGAAAACCAGAGCTTATTGTCTTTTTTATATTTTTTCATTCAAAGATTACCACAAAGTAACTCACACTGGTAGTCTCAGGGAGAACATTGTCTTTGTTTTATGAATGTATTTTTAAGCTGAATCTCTTATCTTTTAAAAGCAAGAAAAAAAGTTTGAGTTATTTGAATAAGGTTCTAGTTAGCATATACAAAGGTCTTGAACTTTAATATTTCATCTGAAGCCCTAACTACATCCTTTTTTTGCTATATGCACAAAGATAAATACCCAGATGAAGATACTTGCTAATTAAAATGAGTTTTATATGTAGTATATGTATAAATGAAAAATTTGTATGTTTTCATATAAATAATATAAAAATCTTCTAAATGCACATTTAAAAACTTCTATCTTATAATTCAGCTTGAAAACACCACTGAAAGCTGTATTCTGGTGATGCTGCCATGGATTAAAGATGTATACAGCAGATTTTCGGTAGCTGGTGGACTCAACTGTAGGTATATGCAACTTTTTAATTTTAGAAGAAAGCCATATTGGGCAAAATGTCAGATTTCTTGGCTGTTACCCAAAATAAAATTCACTAGATCATTTTGTTACAATGTTCTGAAGTGAGTGTCGCGTATTTTTTCTTGCATGCTTTGCAAGGGATCAGCCTTTTTCTCCTATCCTCCACTTCATTTGTGCATTTGTACTTATGGAATGAATAACTGAACACTAATACAAAGATGATAATATCTACATTTACTTATTCAGTAAAAGCTGTGCCCATTGTTTTTTTACTAGAAAAGAAAAGAAAGTTAAGAAGGACACAGTTACTGTGTCTGCCACAGTCAGCAGCTGTACCACTGCCAAATCAGTCTATTCAAACAAAAAACAAAAACAAACAAACAAAAAACCAAAACCAAAAAAAACACAACCAAAAAAAAAAACCACAGAAGAAATTTGGAAAAAATTTATTTTCTACCAAATGGCATTGAGAAGTCTGTAAAATGTATTCCTAAAAGAAGTTAATATCTGGATTTGGGGATTAATACAGTTACTTAGATGATCACTATGCTATTGTGCTCCTGATCTTTGCAGTATCTGGTATTCTGGAAAAACCTAGAAGTGTGCATATTCGTGAGTCCAGTCAGTTGTGCAGAGAATTCTGCAAAGTCTCTGCTCACACATGTGTGCAGCATTTCCAAGCTCAACAGACAACTCTGAGTAAGGAGGTACAGAGTTAGCATAAAGTGGCATAGTATTAGTTACAACAGTGGGAAAGTCTTTTGGCTCTCAGGAACTCTCTCTCTGCATTCCGACACATCAAATCTCATTACCAACACTTAGTGTAACTAATTCCCATGACCCTTTAATTCTATTCAGAAAGAACAAATAAAAGGTCAAAGAGGAAACAAGGACGTAATATTTCAATCTTTACTGTCTTTTCCTATGGAAGAAGGAATAGGCTGTACTTGATACAGGGGCAAAATGCAGAAGATTTCTACATTTCATCAGAACATCATTGTAAAAATCAGTCTTAAGGGCAGGTTCGACACGGTCTAGATTGCTCCATGTACATCTGTGATAAGAGTTTGAATGCCAGTGAATTTTCCAGTTCAGCAGAAAACTCCTCTAGCCAACCCTTCTGACACAATCTCACAGCACAGGGAAGAATTATGTCCCAAGAACTGCATGGCTTTTTTTCTGCAGCAGGAATTCTACCCAGAAGGTATACTTGGGGGAAAAAAATCCCAAAGATTGTTGAAAACCAAGCTGCAATCAGCACCAACGTGGAAATCACTTTATCATATTGACTGGCTTCCCTTTGCATTGTTTCAGTTACTTCAGCATGTGTGTACTACATTTACCTCAGACTTCAAGGAAAACACTAGTCCTAAGAGAAGCACTGGATACAAATTACATGAGTCCATAGCATTGAGTTTTTAACATTCTTAGTCTAAATAAATTTTCACTTCTGTTTTTCTCATGATCTCCATAGGCAAATGCTAAACTTTTTTTTTTTTTACTACAGTGAAAATTTGTAGTGTTGTTGTTTAGCTACTTTTGGGTGTTGGGCATTGTATCAGTTTTATTCCTGCACACATTCCCTGGCAAAATCTTTAAATGGAAGTAACTAATTAACATGTACAATATACATGTACAATATACAGAAATCATCTTGCAGTTCTAAAAATTATTTACTTTGCAGTGTATTTGTGTCATGTAAATAAACATCCATTTCTTAGGATACATCACAGTAAGTGCACCTGTGGATAGTACTGGACAGTGTAACAAAACCAGGCAGCCAAGCTGAAACAAGTTTTGCTCTTTGTCTGACCAACTGCTGAACTCCATTTCTTGTTTTCATAGAACTTGTTATTTGCTGGGTTCAACACTGGGCTTTTTTCTACTGCACAACTGTGTTAACATTTCTAATTTTCAAGCACATACACTATTAGATAACTCAAGCTTTGCTGACTGCACAAATTGCACTGCAAGTTCCCAGGTTAATGGTGGGACCTAATGAGGTGAACTATTGATCCACTATGGAGTCCTGCAGGGTCTTAAGGATGAGTTTGTAAATAGTCTGTCACTAAGGCAGACAGAGTTGAGCACAGTGTAGTGGTCTGTTCACAATAGCTAGTTGAACACAACGAGAAGTAGCTGCTGCCAGTGGCACTGATAGCAGTGTTGCTGGGGAACATGAAGAGTTAAGCTTAAGAAAATAAAAGCATCATTCAATAATGACTACCAAAATCTGGCTTCATTACAACAGTGAGTTGTTCTCTCTGACCTTAGCAGGCCTTCCACAGTCAACCTGACACATGAACAGAAAAGTTTAGAGAGTGGCTGATTCTTTACCTGGAACTACAGCTGTTTAACTTCAGTCATAGATTATCTGTGTGATGGCTGGGCACAAAGCAGAATCAGCACACTTCAGGCTGACTGAACCACCACAGGCAGCCTCACCCACAGCTGGCAAGAGACACGCTTTAGGGCAGAGCCTGAAGCCCAAGTTTTACAGCTATGTGAACATCCAAACATATTCACACTGCTTAGACTAAATCTTTACCTTACCTGTGGCATCCATGAGCCCTTCTCAGCTCTTGTGCAGCCTTGCTGGTACTGCCCCGATTGCACACAAATGAGATGTGTACCAGCCACACCAGCCATAGTATTATGGGCAGTTCCTGTACTCTCCTGGGACATACCCATATTGAGGGCACACACTATGTTCTGTAAAACTGATAAACAGAGGACTTCTAAGTCTTTGTCTCTTTCTTTATTACTGCACAAGACTATCAGAAGTGACCTGAAAGCAAAAACGTAATACGGATTTATGCAGGAGAGCCATTCCAAGCGGAAAGCAGAGACAAACCAGGAAAGCATTCCAAGCTCAGAACAAGAGAGCTTTTCAAGCTGGTAACTGCCAGCACTTCTCCATCCACTCGTTTGAAACAATTACTTTTTCCTGTCCTATTTTGCACCATGATTTCAAAAGAGGCCACTCATGGATTTTCAAATGGGCATAATATATTTTTGGATGACTTCTTGCTGAGCAAACATTTCTTCATTATTCAGCTAAACACATACCAGTTACTGGTTATTATTAGATAATAATAGGATGATAAATAACTTTCGGGGTTTTTTTGTAGGAACCACTACCTAATCGCAGCCTTTACGTACCAACATCAGCTCCTTGCTCCGTAGTTATAAAAATCAGCTGCCCCAGTTGCAGGCTGCTGCATTGTTTTTCATACTACTCTAGTTGTTTAAGCTACAAAGAGCAGTCTGAGGAAGCACACATGGACACCTCCAGTAAATCACAAAGATGACACCTCTGCCATACCAGAAGCCAAGTAACTGTGGTAACAAACATGCAGTAATAACTGTGTCTCGTCTTTAGAAAAAAAGCAGCCAGGCTTTCTACCTTGCAAGACAGCACTATAAACCGAGTAAAGCTGATGCTGAAAGCATATACTGGAGACAGGGCTTGTTTTGAATTTTCACAGTGATCACTTTATATATTAAGTGCAGATCTCAGCAGTGCTTTTGCAACCATATCTATTAACTTTGTTACAACAGGACCATTTTATAAAGCCCAATGTATTTTTCTTCTAGAGACATACCTAGGAATTAAAACATTTCCTCTTTATAACCACCTGAAGCAGTTTTGGACTTTTACTGTAAACACTATTTCCTTCAGGTAAGGATTTAGGAAACATCTACAGGTAGCCTGAAGAAGAATGTATTTGCAAACAATGCAGGAGAGGTAACTAAAGTTCCATCCACGGGTTCACCCAGCAGGAGTTAGATGCAGAAATCCTCTTCCAATAGCTTGTGAAGTAGCAATTCAGAGAAATATGATCTGTAACTTAAACCACCTGTAAAGTTCCACACGAGGATGAACTCATGGATGGTGAGATATTCAATATAGTCAAGAGGTGAACCACTGCAGCTTTCTTATTCATTAAGATAACACATTCAAATATGACTTGGAGAAAAAAAAAAAAAACATGTTAGACATTCAAATTAATTAACTTAGTTTTATTAGGGCTGGTAAGGCAGTTACTTTACACATTGAAGTCATACATCATAACATGAAAATAAGGGATCTGAAGTTTATTGGGGTTTGGGGGGGGCTGTTGTTGTGGTTGGTTGGTTGAAAAGTGTTGATTTTCCTGTCCACCAACCCTAAAAATTTGTATTAAAATACAAATTGTGTACATTTATTAGAGAGCATATGTTGGTGATATTGTAATATCTTAAAACAAAAAGTGTTCTAAATGAGCAGTGCTTTTTGTTTTGATTGCCTATCAATAATTCACCATTAATACAGGCCAACAGTGGGAGGTCCTGGGACTGAGGAACTCAGTGGAGAACTTTTAGGATTCTTCAACATTTTGAAGTTACGCAGATTAAGTTATGCTCTGTGATGTTGCAAGACTTGAATGGATATATGAGAACGATACTCAAACGCATTGTCAGAGGAACCAAGAAAATACATGTAGTAATTCAGAAGACAGTCTACTTACACTGAACCCAATGAGGACAGAACTCAAACATGCAAGCACAGAGTTGTTAGAAGTGTGCACACGTGCTGCAAAGTAACTGGAGGAAACAGACATGCTGCTGGAGAAACTGGGAACCGGTTTCACTCCTTATGCCTGGAACACAATTTTGAAATAGAATCAATTAAAAGACAAAATATTTCAAATAGCTAAAGTATGTCACTGCGTTACTATACACGATGGGGGGGGGAGAACACAGAGGTACGAAATTTTCAAAACAACACTGGGCAAAAGCGAAAGCTTTAGAGCCTCCAGGAAAACCTATTTTCTGGTTATATTAACAATATAATCCCTAAACTCCTCAGACTTCGAGGGAGGGAGAAATGGCTGGTTTGTTATGCAGTCCGCTTTTTAAGAAGTCCTATTTAGACTTTGTGGTGCCTGTAAACCGCGGGGGAGGACTTGTAAAAAGCAGCTCCAGCTGCCTGGGGGCTGCCCCTGCCGTACAGTCCCCCTTCCGCCCCTTGTACACAGGAGCAGCGCCTCTTTGCAGCGACGGAACAGAGATATTTATGCAAACAACAAAGTGCGGCAATACTGGAAGGAGAACCCGTAGGTGGATCTGTTGTTCCCGAGAGGCTGGGCAGCTGCAGTGTTCCCCGAGCCCACGGAGCGCTGACTGGCGTGGAGCCGGGGCCCACCGCCCCTCAGCCGCTCCCGGGAGGGCCGCTTCTCCCGCCGCCGCTGAGGCACCCGCGGGAAGCGCCCCCGGGCCCGCCCGTGGAGCGGCGCGGAGGGGGCGGGGACGGAGCCGCTCCTCCTGCCGGTGAGGGAGCTGCGGTGGCGGGAACCCGGCCGGAGGGGCGGCGGCGCCCGCTGCAGGTACCGAGCGGGAGCGGGGCGGCCGCAGAGCTCTGCCCGCCTCCGCCCGGCGGCGCGGGCACGGGGGTGACGCTCGGGGCGCAGCACGGGACGCGCTTGGGGCAGCGCTCCGCAGGCGGGCGGGAGGCAGCGTGCTGCTAACCCGGTCCGGCCCACCCCTGCCTCGCCACCGCTCTAAACCTGCTGTGCTGGCGGCGGCCGACTGCGCCCTGCGGAGAACCCCGCCCCTGCCGCCGGTGGGGCGGGGCGGAGACGCCCCTGCTGCTTCCTCCTCCTGTCACCGCCCACAGAGCGACGGAACGGGTGCCTTCGCCGTTTCGTTTTGTGGCACTAACGGGCGGAGCGCCCCGCCCGCTCCCCGCCCGCTCCCCGCCCGCTCCCCGCCCGCTCCCCGCCCGCTCCCCGCCCGCTCCCCGCCCGC